GTTTCTTTGGTTGGGCTGTTTGCTGTTGGCTTCATTGGCAGTTTCTTGATTGGGGTATTGTTTACTTGATTGTTGGTGTGATGTTAACCTTGAATTTAATCTATGCTGATCTGGGTGCTGATTGTTAGTGGAGAGGTGCTGGAGTCTTTTTGTTCTTTTTTGGGCTGGGTAATAGTCTCTTTTGCATAGTCTACAGCAGTAGTGGAATTCAATTTTTTTTACTACTGATTCTGTGGGCGTGGCTTGGCAGGCATGGTGTGGCTTGGAGGGCGTGGCTTGGTGGGCGTGGCAGGGGAAGGATACTGCAAAATCTCCATTCCCACCCCACTCCAGGGGAAGGATACTGCAAAATCCCCATTCCCTCCCACTCTAGGGGAAGGATACTGCAAAATCTCCATTCCCACCCCACTCCAGGGGAAGGATATTGCAAAATCTCCATTCCCACCGCACTCTGGGGCCAGCCAGAGGTGGTATTTGCCAGTTCTCTGAACTACTCAAAATTTCCACTACTGGTTCTCCAGAACCTGTCAGAACTTGTTGAATTTCATCCCTGGTCTACAGATGTTGTTAATGTCTATGTGTTTATTGATGGTTGCAGTGCCAGGCTTCTTGAAATTCCCTGGCATTTTTGGACTTGGCTTGGTCTAGGATGGTCACATTTTCCCAGTTGAAACTATGGTTAAATCTGTCTATATGTTGTGAAATTAAAGAATTTTCATCACGGTGGCTTCTTTTTGATTTGTTAGTTTTGCCAAAGCCAATGATGATCTTTATCCAATTTTTCTGCCTTGAATTGTTTAGGATGCCCGTGCTATTCCTCCTATGTACCTTTCCATAACTCCAGATGAATGGAAGAACCCTGCTGAATCCAATCAAATCTACATTCAGTCCAGCATTTTGATTCTTACAATTTTCATCTCTGATGTGACTTTCATGAAATAAGCCAAGTCGAAACACAGGAGTAAATTAACAAACAATCTAGTTTGATCTAGATATCAAAATGGGTATGCATGTACAGTACGTTTGTGTGTGTGCGCATGGGTGTGTGCATGTGCGTGTGTGTGTGTGTGTTTGTGTAGAAATAGAAAGCACTTAATCTAGAGCAGTGATGGTGATCCTTTTGGGCTTAACATGTGAAAAATTTGGAAATGCTTAATTTGACTCTGCTGGCAAGCCACACCCCCAAACACCCCCCCCCAAACAAAAGAGAAACAATTCCTTATATATTAATTTCTTTTTAAAAACTGCAGTCCACTCATGTGTGTGATCCCCAGGATCTGCCATGCGTTGCTTATCTTCAGGCAGTGTTCTGTTGATAGGCCCCTGCCCTTGTACCAGAGGCAGCTCTGGGTCCACAAGGCCTTTGTTCTTGAAACAGCTTTGGAGAATGCTCTTCCATGGACTCTGCAACATCCAAAACCCACATGAAAGCACACCCTTTCTTATGCAATTTTTTGGAGATACCCCATTTCATCTCAGCCTCTGAAAATTGTGCAAGAATGTGGCCTGCTTTCAAGAATAGTTGTTGGGTGATGTTGAATGCTGGTGTGTCACCCAAAATGTTTTGGCATGTCACCTTTGATATGTGTCATAGGTTTGCCAACACTGGTGTGGGATAAAGCATCAGATTAGAAACCAGGGATCAAAGTATGGATCTCTATGTATGTACATGTGTGTATCTATGTACATGTAAGTGTGTATGTAAAAGATACTATATTTGCTTTAAACAAATAGAAGAGCAATCAGAATAAAGCATATTCAAATATCCACTGGAAATTATTATTCTGCTTCTCAGATCGAAACACCCAAAGAAAGAATTTCTAACAACCTATTTGCAAAGTCTGAATGTATCTAGTGCTCTGAGTTTGGTATACTATTCAGATAATATGGCACACAATCCACAGAATTTCCTATTGGAAGTAGCCTACCGGGGATTCCATACAGAAGCCATTTTCTCCCTGTTCTGCATTGATAACTGGACTGTATTCATTAAATAGGACCTTGGACAGCATCTAGTTAGTTTCTCTCCTCCGATTGCCTGTCATTCATTCTGTCAGTCCTGACCTTCGGGCTGTCCTGCACTGTCTGAATCACACTCTTTCTGCACTTTCTCACTGACTGCAAGCTACTGTTGTCTCATTGTCTGACCTTACACACAGAGAGAGCAGAAACAGACAAACCACCTCAGCTCCGTCACTGTCTAGTGTTTATAGAGAGAACTGATACCAAGGCAGAAAGAACTGTCTCTTCAACCATCATTACTTTTAAACCAGCATATCCTGAGAGCAAATCTTATTTTTAGGGAAAGACATATTAATACACTTTTACAAGAGAAAATAACCCTGAAATTTAAAATACAGATGGAAAGAAAATGAAAAATAATTAATGGAATATAGAAATTGGAATAAAAAAAATCTATAAGTGGGTATGAAGACTCCTATCTGTGCATAAGTACTTGCTTCCTCACTTTTTTTTTTTTTACAAAATGATATCTTTGTCTCTAAATGTTGTCAGAGCTTCATATGGAATGTACTGATATAGAAGTCGGAGTGAAAAATAATGCCACATTTGGCAGAATTTAACTTATTTCATAAACAGTAACCCAACATGTAATGTGCTGGCATTTTAAATGTACATCCTCACCCTGAATTTTAAACAATTCACTTAGATATATTAATAAGAGCAGTAGAGTAAATACTTCATTAAACAAGCAGAGCCTGATTGTTTAAAAAAATCAGAGCCTGATCAGAAACAAACCTTGCCTTTTTATAAATCTTAGAAATTTTGGCAACCCTCATTACAGTAAAGTTTGCATTACCCAGATTCTAGATTATATCCATATTCTACTCAAATCATACGCACAAAAAAATCCAGGACAACATCCAGGGATTGGCAGATTTCTCTTGCCATAGCTGAAGTCCCACCTGTAGCAAGGTGAAAGTCACTGCTCACTAAGAAGACCATAGATTAGATGTCAACTTTGCCCACAAAGCACTTGGATGATCCTTGAAGTTCCTGGTGTAAACTATCAAGGTGTAGTGTGCAATTACATCTTCTGGTTTTCTTTGGTATTATAAGTGTAGTTAAGATTTCAGAGAAACTGCAGCACATGCAGAGAATTTCATTCCTTTCCATCCTATGCTCATTCCTTCTGAAATATGTTCCTCTCCCATGTAGCTATGAGTAGTAACAAAAGCACTTTCCATCTGTATGTCTCCTTTCATACTGGAATCACCAACACAGCTACAGTGTATTTTGGCTCACAGATTGGGCCTGTAGGAGATGACCAGGCTGAGTTTGAGGAAGGGGTCAAATGCATCATCACTTTGGAATCCCTTCATACCCACAAATTATCTAAATCCAGCCCCCCTGGAATTCCATTAACTCTTATCTACCACCAATTTGCCTTGACCATTAGTAGTTCAGATTCTTGTTTAGAGGAAGTATGGAATAAACTTGCACTCATTTGAAGAACCTGAGTTCCTAATTACTTGTGCCTGACAGGACCCTAATTATATAAACCATAAAAGTGATAGTTTAACTAGTAAATTAGGATTTTATATTAGAACCCCTTTATACAAGTGTCTCCAAATCAACAGGATAAAAAGTCTTAGATAAATACATGTCCCACTGGCTCAGGTCTTGTGAATATGGATGAAATTCAATGAATCTCTCTAACTCATCTCATAAATATGAATCTTCTGATCTTTTCCAGCAACAGCAATGATGTATACACAGTGATTTAGACTTTTACTCATGGGAATCTTCTTTCTGACTAAATTGAAAATATGTATCATTTGCATAAAGTTCTGGTCAAATTTTTTGTAAAAGTGTTTCAGCAAGACCTTGTTACTGCCCACTGTCCAAGTTTACCTGCTACAGCCTTATTCAACAGGCTTTTCATTCTACCTGTGACACTGCTACACTGTGAGAAATCTTGCACAAGAACTGACACAAAAGCAGCTCAAAAATATTTTCTTAATACAATGAATAGGTGCAGTGTTTTAAACGTGTGTTCATGGATGAAATAGGTTGGCACTCACATGAGAGATAATTTTCTAAACACCCATTCCACTGATATGAGTTGAGTCATTTTTTGTTACCCATACTGTATATTATGTTGCTTAATCTTTTAATTACATTTCTGAAGCATCACAATCGTGAAAGACTTGGTAGTATACACATAAAACTATTACAGTAAAACAATATAAAATTAAAAACAGTGTAATGAAAATATACAAAATGAAACAATATATATTGTATGAGATACCAATGGCATTATCCAACTAGTTAAGCTGCTGCTAGGATTCCTAACAAGGTTGGGACTAGTCTAATTTCTTAGGGGAGGCCACCTCAGGTCTAAAGAACTAAGAACTACATGTGAATAGTTCCTTTATTGTTGCTCACCTACTAACAGAAACTTGCCAGAATAAAGCAATTATCTGCAATAACTATAGATATACTGTGTGAATTGCTAGGGAGGGACCTTCTCTCTTCCTGCCCATCATTCATTCCAAACTCTGCTGTCTCTTTGCCTTCTCTCCTCCCTCTTGCAATTCCTGAGTACATTCCACCACAGGCTATTCTTTAACATGGGGATTATTATAAGAAGCACCTAACTCCTGTGCTCCTCCCCACTTAACAGAATGACAGAGTTGAAGGGACCTTGGAGGTCTTCTAATCCAACCCACTGGTTACAAGCAACTTCTCTCTGGGTATTTGTCTCAGGTAAGTCAATCCTAACTAAAGAAGATGATCCTGAAGATACCATGGGCCAAATATTAATTGCATTATGCTGGGTTCCTTGTTATGGATCTTAATTCCTAACCTTTGAGTTAAGAAAGTTGTGCATTTTATTAACTGCTGTAATTTTGTACCTAATCTTTCTATATTAATCTATCTCCTATAAGGCCGAGTTCCCCCAGTATTTCAAACCAATAAAGCATAAATTCCTCTATATCCTATATCAAACTCCCAACCACTGAATTACTATTTCTTACCTTTTTTGTTCTGGAGGTGGCTGAGATTTGTTATCTTTCCTCTTTTTGGACTCCTTTTTGGAATCCTTTTTGGCCTCTACCTCAGAGGCTGGGGGGTTATTTGCAACTGGCTGTATGCCACCAAGTATCTCTTCCATTGTTTGACTTTGGAGATGGTGAGTTTTAAATTAAAACATAAAAAAAAAGATAAGGATAACGAAAGAGAAAATGAAAGCAACAAGGTGTTGTTACAGAAGAAACGAAAGAAAACAAGGTAAAAATTAAATGTTAAACAATAAAATGAAAACAGTAGATGCCAACAATTTGTCAGCAGAAGAAGAAAAGGAAATCAGAACCACAAAGAAAAGAAGGCAAGCCAAATGCCGTAACGTAACGAGATGGATCAAGCGAACTGTGACTTGAGTGGCAGCCATACAATGTAAAATACCAGCAATGTGTATAATAATTCATGATGATGTTTACCAGAGAGCTTACAAAACACTTCATTATTTTATAACACTCTGTTATGCAGTAGCATATGTAGAACAGAGTGTGAAATCTCACTGTATAGAACGCAACTTCCAAAAAATAAATCCATCGGTGCACGAAATGCTACACCAGTTAGGAAACTTACTTCTATAACACTTTCAGGTTTAAAATGGACTTCAAATTCTGAAATAAGTTTGAAAGTTTGAAATAAGTTTTTTTAAAAAGTCATTTCACTTTGAATCTAATCTGATCTGTTACAGCAAGGTTAACTGGCATAACAAGGCAAATGAAATAAAATTTGAGTCTATAAGCATGCAAGTCTCAGTACAAAAGGAATCTGATGTAGCCTAAAACATGGGCCATTCTTGAGAAGGCATTTAGAAATGGTGGCTTTATGATACAATGGCAGCTTCCTGAGTCCATCCAAAGTAGAGAGTATATAAAATTGCTGCACACTATTATGTTGGCGTGGAAGGAATCCTGTGTTCTTGTTAGTCTGTAATCATGACGTAGAAGCTTAAGAAGTAAGCGGAATGAACATATTGGATTACAGAAGTTAATGCTTTCTGCAAGTGTTCAGCCCACACAAAGAAGTCTTAAAGTGGGACGGGGATGAGGATATGTCTTCAAAACTCTGATTCCAAAATCTTTTTCTTTAGGGATTCTTTGTAATTCTGAGTCTATTAAACACTAAACTGTGAAGAGATTTTATGAGCGTTTAGTTGATCTCCATGACTGAAGATCTCAGAAAGTATTATCCCTATTGACAAAGAGATATTCAGCCTATAAATCCCATGCAGCACAAAATGTTCTTGGGTAACTTCATTAAATTATTGGTAAGGATTTGAAGAAAAGGAGGACAGCTACTACATCTCATTTACATTTTGCATCTTCTTGTGATGCAATCAAAGGATTCAAATGTCTACAAATTCTTAACTGATTGAAATAATTTTTTTTCATTAGTTTTGAGTTTTTCTCCATCACTCCCAAACCTGAAATACACTTCTTCAACCAATTGCAGCACACAAATTATTTACAACAAGAGCATCAAAAGTGTTCAGTTGTTGTACTCCCACAATCACTAAATTAGAAAAAAAAAGATTAGAAATTCTTAATCTGCATTTTTATATTGATTTAGCACATCCAATTCCTTATCTCAGTAGGTGAATTTATTCAACCGTTTCTTCTTTGGCAGAATTCTTTAACTTATGGTCTTTCCAAAGGGGGTTCAAGCATTAAAAGATGGACTTCAGTTTTGTAGGGCATTACCATTTTTTAGACAAGATCTATATGCTATTTTCAAGATAGTAAAAAAATAAATTATGAGTATAGTTACGCATTATCCAAAGAAACCAGCACTTCAAAAAGCAATGTTATCAAAATGGCTGAGACACACCTGGTCCACCTTACCTGTTGCCGTGAACATGCGATGCACAAAAGGCAAAACTGTAGTGTAGTAAGGTGGGGTCAATCATTGCTCCATTTTCTGCTCTTTCAAGCAAATCACTGAGGTAGCAGAGATGCCTGTGACAGCCTCTGACTCCATTACGTGCACAGTATTCATCTAGGACAAAGACTTGGCCAGGGCTAAACCAGCCCTGTAGGTAAATAGAGAAAGTTTGTGTCAAATGTAGATTTTTTTAAAAAGACACACCAGACCACAATTTATGAAAATCAAATTAGGAATGGAAATGAAATATTGATGTTGAACACATTAATTAAAACAGGAATGTTTAGAAGTAATCTGACTTTGTACAACTACATTTTGGTTTGAAAAACCAACTTGTCCTTTTCTTGATGTCATAGAGTAAAGAACCCAACTTTTAGTAGGTGCACCATGATATCCAACTGAGATATGGAACTTATGCTAGTTGCCTTATTTGCTTCTCCTGCCCCCTTCGCATCATGGATGTCAGTTTTCATGGACAATTGAAGTAGCGAGTCAGTGACTTGTAAATGGAATATTATAATATTGATGTCTACCATCCAAAGGTAATCTTGACTTGACAGATCTAGTGGAAGGATCTAAGTGAAAAGTAAAATATCAGCTCACCCAAACAATGCCAGAAATTTTAAACAGCGAAACATCAATTATCTAGTATATATGAAATAAATACTGAGATGGATATTGCAGGGATGATTTGCAAAAGGACTCAAACAGCTTATTAAACATCAATCACATATCTACTGTAGTATACAACTGTATGTATACCAAAGGTGCTTTTCAAGAGGCAACTGGATTTTCCTGATTATCACTTTGCTGTATAATGTACAAATATTGAATTAACTCCAAACTTTATCATGCTTAGAATAGAGCACTGAAATCAACGGGTTAAAATAATCTAGCATATTGCATTAGCTATAAAAGAAGAGATTTGCATAGAAGGACCCCCCCCCCCCCTATTATAGAAATACATTCTCTAGTAAGCAGCAATAGCTATGACACATATTTTGTTCTCTGCAAATAAATGTGCTTGTGTGGAAATTGGGATAGCACTTCTGGGCCTAACACCATTCTTCGTGTGTTTTGAGATCCTGTTCTATATGGAAGTCGGCAAATCAAAGTGCATATATTCTGGTTGCATGACAGTCCCTAGAAATGTGGAAAGGAAAGATCTTAAACAATATCTGTGTGTGGGAGCATGAGAATGACAGATATTCATATATGAATGGGTTCTTGAATGCATCAAGAGCGGGAATATGGTCAATAACTGGATCTGGAACAGTGGTGAAATCCAATTTTTTTTTACTACCGGTTCTGTGGGCGTGGCTTGGTGGCCATGGCATGGCTTGGTGGGCGTGGCTTGGTGGGCATGGCAGGGGAAGGATACTGCAAAATCTCCATTCCCACCCCACTCCAGGGGAAGGATACTGCAAAATCTCCATTCCCTCCCCACTCCAGGGGAAGGATACTGCAAAATCTCCATTCCCTCCCCACTCCAGGGGAATGATACTGCAAAATCCCCATTCCCTTCCCACTTCTGGGGGAAGGATACTGCAAAATCTCCATTCCCACCCCACTCCAGGGGAAAGATACTGCAAAATCCCCATTCCTTCCCCACTCCTGGGTGAAGGATATTGCAAAATCTCCATTCCCACCCCATTCTGGGGCCAGCTAGAGGTGGTATTTGCCAGTTCTCTGAACTACTCAAAATTTCCGCTACTGGTTCTCCAGAACCTGTCAGAACCTGCTGGATTTCATCCCTGATCTGGAGACAGAATTTCATAGAAAAAAAGCAGTAGAAAACTAATACAAATACTGTATATATCTCTTAACTCCAATGGCTCAAGCTGTTTCAGGGTTTTATATGTCAATGTGAAGACCACAGAGTATGGCTGAAGGATGACTGGAAGTTGTTTTCTACTTTACACACACGGAGGCGTCATAATCTCAGCAGCCCATTCTGTTTGTTGTTGTAGCTGAACAATCCACAAGGGCAGCTGCACATCTCACAAAGTATTAGAGTAGTGAAGTTTCAAGGTTACACGGGCACAAATTAATGATGGTCTATCCTTATGGATCTATCCCGGCATGTCAGAGCACCAAACTGTCATTTTGTAGAATGGGAAGCCTAATTAGAAGAGATTGTCATAACAGCTTATCAGGTAGATTCTTTTTCACCTAACATGAAATTCTGTAGATAGAATTCAAAAGAACTCCAGAAGCAGATTGAAAAATAATCAGTATCGATAGAGAGACTGAGCCATTGACAAGACATATCTTTCTAATGCTTCAAAACTGCAAACTCTTTCTTCTTTTAATTGAAAAGTTCCCGCGGCGACTAGATCAGTGCCCTGCCCCTTTAGGCAACTTCTTTGCCACCCCATCTGGCACCCCAAATGCTACGTCTTTGAAATGACGCCGCTGTGAAAAGATTAAAATATATTTTCTACCACTCGGATGACACCAAATCTTTCCTGGATGCCAAAATGCTACTGTTAAGGAGAGTCGAAGAAATATCAATTAAGAACTACATCGAAGGATTTGCTTATCCTTGTTGGGCCAACTCCAGAACAGATTGAAAAGGGATTAAAATAATGAGGGGCAGAATCAAAGGCATGGAAAACAGACATAGTTCCTTTTATTACGCCTATTGCCAGAAAGCGCATGTGTGAAAAATGAAGATGCTGACGGAGGATAACGCAGACTGTGGCTTGTCAAAAGCAACCCTTTTTTCTCCCTCTTTATATCATTACAAAAGAACTCCTGGAATTTTGCATTTGGGTGAAGGCTCACACAAAAATATTTTCCTTACTTAAGAAAAAATCAGTTGGTTTTGTTTCTCTCATAATATTTTGGCAAGGTAGAAGGACAGGGGTAAAATAAAAATACCTCTCCCCTCCTCCGTCTACAACTGAGTATTCCAGAAAACTATGGTAGGGAAAAGCTACAACTGAAGAAGGAAGGCACAGAGACAAAAATATTGCTAAAATTGCAGCCAAGTGTATTTGTATGACTATTCTTGAGAAAATAGTTGTACAGCAACATTTCTCACAATTCAGATTCCCACCAAATGCCTCCTAGTTAATCTAAGAGTGAATTTTCCCTTTTAAGGCATACTTCAAAATCACATTTGAAGACGGTTTTTGCTTTGCTTTTTTCTAAAGCACAGGGAAAATTAGGCAACTGAATACACATTTGATCTGGTCATGGCTATACTGTGAAAACTGAAATTTTTCTTAGAATTCATACTAAATTATCTGAGTTAAGCAGCAAGAACCCCCTGTGAAAATCAAATCAAAAGAAAAAAAAAAGAGGATGGAATAATAGCAAGCCAATCAGTTGACTAAAGTGTCTTAAGTTGGTTTTGTGTTTTGTTCTGCATTTAAAAATCAATGCTATTCTTTAGTTTTTTTTCCTTGCTCCTTACTGCAATCATCATCTTCTTCTTCTTCTTCTTCTTCTTCTTCTTCTTCTTCTTCTTCTTCTTCTTCTTCTTCTTCTTCTTCTTCTTCTTCTTCTTCTTCTTCTTCTTCTTCTTCTTCTTCTTCTTCTTCTTCTCCTCCTCCTCCTCCTCCTCCTCCTCCTCCTCCTCCCTCTCCCTCTCCTTCTTCTTCTTCTTTTTTTCTCCTCTTCCTCTTCCTCTCCTCTTCCTCCTCCTCCTCTTCCTCCTCCTTCTTCTGTTTTTTATTTTTGAATTGGTTGCCTGCATTGAATAATTCTCAGTCTACCCCTTATTCATATTTTATAATCCTGCTCTCTCACTCAAATTCATATCTGGGACATTTTCTTCTCTCATCAGAGACTCTGACCGGTTGGTCTCATCACAAGATGCCACATGAGACTGAATTGCAGATTCATCATGCAAAGGAGCCTAGAAGCAGTTACACCCACAGAAAGGGGAGCGCTTTATTTATTTATTTAATCAGATTTTACAACCACCCATCTTCCTCCCAGAGGGACTCCGGGCAGTGTACAGATAAAATATTAAGACATAAAACATCTACATAAAATTTTAAAAGGCAATTAAAAATCAGTGTTAAATTTACTTAAAAAATGGGAGAGGGGTTTTCAAGGCGCTAACTGGCCTTATGGCTGTGTGATCCTCTGTGAGTCCCAAGCAAGGTTACAGAATAATATTTTTACCCCTTTCTGAAAGGCCAGGAAAATGGGGGGGGGGGCAGACTCACCTCGGGGGGGATGCTCCATAGGGCAGGGGCAACGCTCATCCTGTACCTGGCCAGTCAGAATTCTTTAGCTGAGCAGATCCACAACATACCTTCCTTGTCTGACTAGTTGGGATGGGCTGATGTATTGGGATGAATATAATTCTGTAGGTAACCTGGCCACCAAAACCCCAGAGTCCAATGATCTGGCCCTGCTTTCAACCCAGGGGCCAGGCTATTGGATTCTATCTCAAGATGAAAACAATTTAGGCAAGGAATGGTTAATCTGCAACTTGAGAGTTACACATATCAATCTGCCTTAATTTCACAAGGACACCGGTCTGTTTTCCAAAGCCCTTTGTGAGCTACCAATTTCAATCCTGAGAATGGAGAGAAACAGAGAAGGGATTGCGAAGAAAATGAACCATAGGTATCCTATGTACCTGCTTGCTATTTACAAATCACCTCCCTAAAGACGAACCTATTAGAAACCAAAAAGGGACATCAGCATGTCATTACATTGACATGGCATTATTTTCCATTCAGGGCCTATATCTGCAGATGATCTCCAAGGGGATAGGGGCCTTGACTATCCCAGTTATGGGGTAAACATAAGTGAATTATAGCTTCAGCAATTTATTGGCTTCACAGATTGTTAACTGCATTGCCAAAAGCCAACTTGGAACACAACATTTTGAGCAAATGAAGTTTATGCTAGTCAACAATTCATGTCCAATTAAAAAAAAATCCTCTCATCTGATGCAAGCATGAAGTCATTTTAAAAAAGAAATTATAGCAAATTGCATCTTCATGACTTTCCTAAAAATTGAAATATTGTTTGATTTCTTGTGTTTCCCAGTTTTTATTTATTTTATTTGGTGTTTAAATGCAGAAATGAACCACAACAAAAATCATGTAAAATGACAATTTAGTTTTTGACATCCTGCTTCCCAATTAAATAAATAAATTAAAAAAGACCACAGATACTTCTGAATGAGTAAATTAAAACAGACTTCATGGCCCACTGTTCTAGCACTTCCGCTTTCTTCATTTAAAATGGAGAATATTTTAGAAATCATGTGCTTTGACATTGTAACAAAACCGGCATTCTTCCAGTCTGCAAAATACCGCTAATTTCAGAATATTTCAGTGTAAATTTTCAGCAAACCCTATTATTTTTATTTGATTTAATTATTAAAGAGAGCCACCTGATCCCTGCACCTTTTAGAGCAGCAGAACTGAATATACCAGACCTTGCATGGCTAATCTATAAAGCGTAAAAGTACAAATAATACTTACGCAGGAAGGGAGCAAAGCCAGTGTTGGACAGCACAGCCTTTTTCTAAGTCATTGTTTGCAGAGAGCAACTTAAAGAACCCTGCAGCTATGCAAACTGTGGCAGGAAGTTTCAGTCAATGGTGCCAACGACACCTCTGCCTCCCCTCCCTATTGCTTTTCCTTGCCAAAAACTGTTGCCTTTATGTTATCTGTAATGAGTCAATTTCTTTGTTTTCATAGAGAATTCCGCTTCTGTCAGACTGTGGGAAATCAAGTCAGACTGTATATCATGGGCTTGCGAAAGAGAAAAGATGCTACTTTAGGGAGGTCTATCAGTCTTCAATGGATGACTTATGAAAATAAGAGTTGTCAACAATATGAATGACAACAACAACAACAACAAAATGCCAAGGCACAGTTTGCAATTTATATGGAGGGGAGTTAAATATACATTTGTCTTTAAAATCCCACACAATTCTTTCCTTTTTGGAATAAATCGAAACCATCCTCTGCGTTCTAAATTTAGGACTTGAAAGTGCCTGATGACCCTTTAGCTGCTCACCTATATAAATTCTGCACTAAAAACTGACTTGCCGAAATTCCCTTATATGTGAGCGGAGATGTGATCTCAGGCAGGGAAATGGCAATCTGGTAATTTTGAGGGAACGGGATTAGAGTTAAAAGGAACAAAAGGAGAATGAGATGTGAAGCAGATTGCTCCAAAATCAGAGACCTAGAATGAAGATTGTGTTGCTGGATGCCAGCTTGATGAAGGAGAAAAATTGACTGGGACTTGAGACCCCCTGAGAGATGGGAATCAATTCAGATACTCCATGCCAGGAGACTGATAGCAACAAATGGCGGCCAGATGCTGAAGGTTCCTCCCTCAAATTAAATCCAGGGAAAAGCAAGAACATCTTGGTCGCCATCCCATTGATCAGTCTCCCACCAGAAATTCAGATGGCTCCATCATTTCTGATCTTTAGAAAAATCTAAAAAGCTAACTGGTTCTAAAGAGCATGTATTTATGCTCTCTTTTTTAAAGTAAATCTATTACCATTGTCCTGCCTGTTGTAAAAATTTACAGAAGGTTTTGAAAGTTTAAAGTTTTGTGTTTTTTGTGTTATGATCAGTTTGTTTCTTTATTGTGGGATTGAACCAACCAATGAAATTAAATCTATAGGAGTTGATATAACATAGTCCTGATTGGTGCCAGTCCATGAAATTTCTGAACATTGATCAAAGGAAATTTTCTTACATTAAACGTTAATTAGTTAGCTCCACTGAATTGGGCTTGACATCTGATGGCTGCTTCAACAAATTTTCATCATCTCAATCTAGTTCCAGTACACTTCTGCAGCTCTTCCAATGAGAATAAGGTAATCTCTTTGAAATTATCTTTTATTTTATCTGCCATCTACTATCTCTGTCAATCTTGTGAGGCAAAACCATTTTTTTCTATACCGTCATTGGCTTGCATCACATGGCCAAAACAGTGAAATGAGATGTTGTTATGGTATATGGCCAGATCTGTTATTTCTAACTGGCACAACTATCCATAATAATGGGCAGGCAACATTATTGATGGTGATGAAAAATGTGTGCATCTGCAGGGATGTAGAGAGGGGTGTCAAACTCGCATTGTCACATTGTCATCACGTGACATATCCTGACTTTCCCCCCTTTCGCTAAACTGGAGGTGGGCGTGGCCAGCACGTGACACATCCTGCCTGCGGGCCACGAGTTTGACACCCCTGGCGTAGAGACACTCCAAAACAGGAAGTTTGTGTCCTAATTGATAACTGCTAGACATCTTAGCTAAATGTTTCCATTTCTGCTGTAAATGTTGAACAGTTAAAGACTTACTAGCAACAAGATGCATATCTCTGTAAAAGTCACTGTTTAAGCTTCTGCTCAACTAATTCAATTAAGTCCCTTTTTACTCATTTCCTTTTCATGTATTCAAATTATGTTTATACTTTTATCTGTTATCTTAATATATGCTTGACAAACAAACAAATAAATAAATAAAAATAAAGAAGAGATATGTACTTCCTCTATTAATGAAAGGAAAATGAGTCTAGAGATTTACAAGAACATAACAATTTCTTATTGAACTTTCTAAACTCCAACAACGGTTTCACTTTTATTTTGTCTTCCCATCATCAATCCCCAAACTACAGTTCTGAAATCAGTGTGGGAAATCTACAAAGCGGTGTTTCCCAACCTTGGCCCTTTCAGATATGTGGACTTCAATTTCCAGAATTCCTCAGCCCCTTCCCCAGTCAGATTCCCCGGTTGAAGTCCAGATAACTGATATAAGCCAAGATTGACCACTGCATTCACTTAATGACCACTGCAAAACATCCAGGCCATCACAGGAGGATCTGCTTTATGACTGTCACAACTTATGGCCATAAGTGGCAGGCTTATGAAAAGTTTGTTCTAGTGACTAAGGTATTGAAAAATTTGGACTAGTGGTTGTGGCACTATTTTCTGTTATCTTCTTTTGTTATTTATATTTCTACTGTATTTTGTTTTCTGTTCTTGCTGAAAGCTTCTAGGTAAATATCAACACCTTTCATCCTATGAATAGGCAACTTTTTAATCATTTGAAAATTTGTTGAACTGAGGAAGTATAAAAATATAAAAGTCATAGTAACAACTTATGGCAAAATGAAGGTAACCTCTTACTCCATGAATGTTTACAATTTAAAACCTCATTTTTTTTTACAGGTTATTGTCTTTTTCTCCAAAATCTCACTGCTAACACCTCCAGTCCTACCAATATCTATTATTCAGACTTGAGAAATGAGAGGCAATCCTATTCAGATTTTTTAACGTTAATGTATGAGGAAACAGAGCATATACTCCAAACCAAAGGAAAGCAAATCAACAGATTATAGAACTAAATCTTGGTAAGCATCCATCTGAATTAAGTTGTGAAAGAAATCTTCATTCACTTTAGTTCACATCTTCAACTATTGAAACAAAAATGTTTTGTAGCTTTTAAAATGGCAAAAATTAAAAATTAATTTTGCTAAAATTAATTGCTAAAACAATTAAAATTACAATAATTTGTTTATAAACAGCTAACATTTTAATAAACCAAATAAGATATTAAATAATCTGCCAATATATTTAGGGGTTCCAAATAATGTTGACAGATAACATTGCATAATGTTGAATGGCCAAAATAATTAACTATTATCCTTCTATTATCACTGAAATCTATCTGTCTGTCCTGTCTGTCTGTCTGCCTGCCTGTCTGTCTGTCTATCTTCTATCTATCTATCATATCTACCAATACCAATAAGAAATTCTGAGTTTAGTAGGGTTTTTGTTGCAAGGTTAATGGGCTGATTTAAGGTCTAAAAATCAAATAAAGATTGAATGTATCACAACTGCAAACTATACTTATCCTTTGTGATCTTCAAGTTCACTGTACAGGAAGACTGGATCTGAAGGATCTCTTCAGTTAGAGCAGTCTTTCTAATAAACATATTTATCTTTGCCAAGATCTGTTGATTCTGCCAGATTTTTCGTACCGCACAAAAATAGTTGCTACTTGAACAGAGGGTAATTTTTGAAATATGAGATCTCTCAGGACCAAATTCAGACCTGAAGGAAGCAGGCATTTATTTCAACTGACAACCATTTCCCTTGACAGCTGCAGACACTATCAGAAGATCAGACATTAGTGCTCAGAATTTACATTGCATAGACCAAAGAATATACTTGCCAGACAAGAATAGGAATCATTAAGTCTGTGGTCCAAAGTGAGGCGCTGAAGCATCTCAAACAGTGCAGCGTGGTCAAAATTACAGGGATTGGAAGAGATAAATTCATCCATGCCATGCTTTTGAGCTCTATCTGCATCTGTTCATTTATACATATAGAGAAAGACACAATTTAGAAAAAACATTGTGTTTGACATACCAAAGATATAACACGAAGCATGAGAACTAAGTTGCTCTGTAGCATTTTTTTTGAATTTCAGGCTCACAAGCCTTAATTAGATATATCCTTCAACTTCCATTGTCAACTTGCAACACTTATGGAATGGCTTATATTGCCAAAGGTACTAGAATCATAATCTTATTTCCCAATTACTGGATTGCGTTTATTTCACATTTTGACAAAATAACAAGAAAGTTATTAAATTTTTTGCTTTTAAAAAAAACTCTAATCCAAACTTATTGTCCATAAAATTGATGTTGGGATTCCTATATTCCACAAATTCCTACTTTTTCATTTCTAAATAATGAGTAGAACCTGTTGCAGATCCATTCTGGGTCGATCACTGGGACCAGAGGTTTAGTCTTCGGACTTGTGCTGGAATCCATCCTCAGGAACTTCTCTCTAGTTGAGTGTGTGCTTTGGGCTCTTCTGGGCATGCTATTTATATGGTGCCTGGTTATGTGTGGCTTTAGTAGAACCTGTCCTTCTAAGGAAAGGAGATCATTATATTTTCTTACATTTAATATATTTGCCTAAACATGGATCCATTTCAGTTTTAGGGAATCAAATAGCATCTGTTAACTGTTAACTAACTGTGAAATAGTTACCTGTTAATAACCCAAACCCTAACCCAAGCTGCAGTCAAAGTCACACTTTTCTTTACTTCTTTTAGGCGGCAGGATTTACCTTTTTCTTGAAAAAAATAAAATAAAACAGCAAGGAAGGGTATTCCTCTAAAAGTATGGAAGTGTAATGGCAGCGTATAGCTTATTTTTCAATATGATTAACAATTGCAATGTATAAATGGAATTATTGTAGAAGTTGAATGCTGACTTCTGCTTCTTTCTTGGAAGAGAAAAAAAGAACCAATGTAGAGCTGGGTGCCGTTTAAGCCTATTGGGTGTCAAGTCAGGTATCACTTGATGGCACTTAGTTGTGGAGTTTAAACTCTGGTTTATGGGGATTTATGGGAGTTGAGGTCCACCCATTTTAAAGTTATGATATTGAGAAACACTGGCCTAAACTTTCACTCTACAAGAATTTTTTAAATTAATTCTTGCAGAGTGATAATTTAGGACAGTGTAAATAGTTCAGGAGAGAAGGGCAGACAGGAACGTGGTTTCAAAGAGATGTTCCTGTCCTGATCCAAATGTTTTATTCAGTTACAAGAGAAGAAATCCAAAATTCCCTTTTCCCATTGACTCTGCTACTAGAGGTCTTGTTTATTTTATTTTTTAAAAAATCCTTAATAAATAAAGCAGGAATTAAATCCCCACTTTTTAAAATCAGTCTTCTAGAGTCTTAAGAGCAGTAGTCTTAAGACTCTAGAACTTAGATATTTGTATATTTTTAAGACTCTAGAACTTAGATATTTGTATATTTTTTGTTTTAATAGGCTGTACACTGCCCCGAGTCCTTCGGGAGAGGGGCGGTGTAGAAATAAAATTATTATTATTATTATTATTAGTAGTAGTAGTAGTTGAGTTAAAAAGCACCATGACACCTAACATGAAGATCTAACGTTCCTTGGGAATGGCTTTCATATAAAAACCACAATAACATCCAAAATAAAATTCCAGATTTCAAAGAGCAAGTGGAGAGCTGGTATAGTTTCTTAACTAGAAATATTGTCCATTTATGAGTTGCTTTGAGAACGCCTCTGTCACATACTATATTAAAAGATTTCAAAGAGCTTTTAAAAGAGAAAGAAAATGAATAATCTTTATGCTATATGACTAATGAAGTACCTAAACCTACCTGGCTTTCTAAAAGATCACAAATGCAAAGAATAAAACCTGAACTGCTTAAAGTCAACAATAATATTTCTTTGATAATGAATCTTTTGAATTAAAATTTATGGATGACCCTGTGCATGATTAAAAGAAGTCATAGCTGAGAGGAATGGAACTTGTAATATTGTATGCCTTTTATTATAGCATCATTTCACTTACTTTGTACATTACAAAGTATTTTGATCCTACAGATTTTTTTAAAAAATTACAGATTATAATGGTTTCATATTTGTAATGTAAACTGAATATTTAGCTGGATGCTGTCAATAGATTTTTCTATAAGAGAAGAATGGATCCCCATATAGGCATAGAACAGGGCTGTCAAACTCCCAGCCCATGGGCCAGATGCATCACATGCTGGCCACGCCCACACCTGGTTTAGCGAAGGGGAAAAATGTCCTGATACGTCATGTGAAGCCACCGTGATGATGTGAGTTTGACACCTCTGGCATAGAACTTCCATGAACAGAAGCCCCGGTGACATCACATCTGTCATGATGTCATCATCCAGTTGTCATCAGTTTGTCAGTTCTCACCACCCACCTCTGGATTCCCCTGTATTTATACAATCTAAACACCAATAATGAGAAGCAAAACATTCTTAAAATGTCTTCTTAGAATTTAGCCACTGTGTGTGTGTCTCTCTCTCTCTGTGTAGGATTTCAGCCTAAATTATCTTGGCTTAATAGAATTGCAGATCAGGCTGCAAATTTACTCTCCTTTCAAATGCAATCACTTCAGCACGATCCATTCTAACCTTGGGGTTCTAACTACAGTGCTCTCTTCAACAACCAATCAGATGGTTTCTATCTGTTTTGACAAATGATACCCTATCCCCCATGTCCCTCTGGGACAACATCAATTGAATTAATACAATGCACTAATAAGACTCTGTGCTGCTCCCCTACAATCTGTCTTCTTCCAAATTCAAGCCCTAAATACATTAAAAAAATAGCTTTATAGCTTTAATAAGATGCATCAAGCTTTTAATCATTATTTTTTAATGTATTTTGAAGTCTGTAGTGTTCAAATTTCCCTGAGAAGACTGCAAGCTGACAAATTGGCTGGAGGCCTTCTTTTGCCAGTTATGTTCAGATATATTTCATGACTTTTTCAATTATGAGACATGGTGTCTTGACAAGTTTGATTCCTTAATAAGGAAGTTGGAGTTAATGGGTTATGAATTTAAAGGGCTCCCTCCTTCTCCAAGTGGAAAGAATTATGACCTTAGAGGTATCACACTTCTTCAACTATGCTTTCCTTTTAATTATTCTGCCTCTTTTAGAACTCATTAAAAATAAATGAAGTGTTCGACATGCTTTTTTAAATAATAAAGAAACAAAAAAGCATATACAAGACCCTTTATCACTACATATGGAACGGAGGGGTACATTTGGCTTAAAGTATATGTGGAGTCACATGATCCTTTTCCTTTTGGCAGTAAAAACAGGACTTAAGAATGGAATCAATGCAAGGAACAGCTCGATTTCCTAAAGCTAAAAAGACCCGGCCTCGTAATGCTTATGCATGTCAATTAATCCTTAACCCAGTCTACTCTATCAAAATAAAAAACAAATGAGATATACTGGTTATTCTAGATTTACTGGTTCTGCCTTCCTTTGGAAGAGCCAAAGGATTACATATATCCTGGCTAATATGCAAAGTTGAGACTCTGCCTCTCTGCTATTTCTATACTTTCTCACTTCTGCATGTCTTGAAGACCTAGATCAGTGCCACCATGCCTTGGCTCTAGAACTGATCTTAACTGTCTTAAGGTCCTGATTTCAGGGGAAAACCTAGACAAGCACCATATTATGTGGCAACAACAACAATGAGTTGATGCAGTCTAACAAGCCATAATCGGATGAGTATGTTGCTGTGAATTTAAGCACTTTGAAAATGTTGATACTTGGAATATATGAGCTCCTCAAGTTGCAGCACATTCATGTGAATAAGACCAGTGTGCAAGTACAGCAATTATGGTGATCAGAAACATTCAAGTTCTGAGATGGTGGAGCATGTACGTTGTGTGTGTATGTATGTGTGTATGTGCATACATCCATCTACATCCATATCCACTTCCACATATATATCTACATCTGCATCTATTATGTCTCTACACTATCTATCTACAGTATCTCTATCGCTATCATCTCTCTCTTCCTCTCCCTATGCCTATCCTTATCTCTATCCCTGTCATCTATATCAATATGACTCTGTCTAATCTATATCACCTCTCATATTCTCTCTCCCTCTCTCTTTCCCTTCTTATCCCATGAATAGAGTCTTTCCTCAGTCTTGGGTCTCTTACAAAAGAGCTTGAGCTTTGAGGAGTCTGTACAGTATCTTAGTTATTTCTAGCACTGTACTTTTCTGGACAGAAAGCTTTGATGTTATTCCTATATGTATATTGCATTGGCTTCGTCAAAGTGCTTCTGTTCAAGTCACAAGCAAAGTGTATTGACTGTGCCTAAGCCAATCATCTTTGTAGATTTGAAATTGCCACAATACACTTGGAAGAGAGTTCTGGCTTCATGCTTTTCACAGGAAAGACCAACTTCTGGCGATTCAGAAATAAGAGGGTATGCTTATGGTATGCTTGAGTAGTGTAGAGTAATGATTACCTAATGCCATAGAAAAGAAAGTGCAGTGTTTTGAAATATTCAGAAGTTTTATTGGCCGATAAAATATTAATTAGCAAACTAAATGAAAAATGCTCGTTCTTCCTGCCCCCACCTTCAAATATTTTATTTCTTTATATTCTGCTTTTATTATTTTTACAAGTAACTCAAAGCAGTTATCCAATACATCTTCCTAATACAAGTATAAATGTATGAACATGCTGTTTATGCTGTTTCTTTGGCTTACATTTGTAGCAAGTGGTGATTTGGAATGGAATGGAATAATAGCCTTTCCCGGAAACACTTTTCTATCTTAGAATAATAATACATTTAATCCAGACCTCTGTCTCCTTTCACTCTTCGTTCTGCTGCAATTTATATTACATGTGGAGCCAGTGATTTTAATATACTTCCTGACAGCTATTATTCAAATAGATTCAGTAAAGTTTGAAAAATATTCTAACCAGTTGTCAAAAACAATTAGTTCGTTTTTGTCAATATAAAA